ACAACTGTTAATTATCAAATAGCCATTAATAGGTATTGGGTCAGGAAAGGTATAAGGATGTGAATGTGTGCCATTTCCGGGTTCTATGTACAGTACGTTAGACGTGCCTGGAGTAATAGAATCATTGTACGGAATAGAATAGAAAACGATGACCATCATAGGAAACTGAAAACCCTAGTCCATAAAATTTTTCGCCAGCTGGCCTGAAGCATGAATAGATTGTCCTAATGAGTGCATTGAGTATCATAAATTAATTTAGGGTTCTAGGGTTAATGAGTTTTGTTAGAATCCTTCCTTTTCATTGTATTCAACGATGTTCCGGAATATTCGATTCAGATCGCAGATATTGCATGCGTTCAGTGGAACCTTGATTGAATTAACATTTTTTCATTGTACTAAAATATCTTCTCACGATAGCAGAATTTGATTATAATCGTTTACCATCGAATCACAAGTCACTTTTGTCATTTCATGACAATTTATTATCCATTACTTGCAAAAGTAAAGTACATATTAACTTATTACTTAAGATAACTTAATACATATACTAAATGACTAATATACATGAAAAATATGTAAATCTACATAGCGAGAGAGTAAATTTGTAAAACAGGAAGTTTACACCAAAATTAAGTTTCTTCACTTATAAAAATGATAAAACGTCAAGAAATTTGAATTGGTTGAAAGAATCATAGCATTCAACATGAGAAAGAAGTTAGAAAATAAATTATAGAATCTCAGAAATATCCTTTCTTTTCTTTATTAAAAAAACAAACAATGTTTTGCTGAGTTAAAGTTTCGCTAAGCTGCTTGTTGCGAATTGTTTCGTTTCGAGTATCAATATGATATAATGTAGTCGATTATTATTATCGCGTGATCTACATGTGCTATTAATAAGAGTGATTAAAAACTTTATAAAAATGTTCCGCGATAAAGACGCTCTAACGATAGCGTAAAATATCGGTATATAAACAATGAGAGCCGGCTGTGTATTATCGGTTTAGTTGGTTCATTCAGCTGGATCCCCGCGGTTGCCCAATGACTGGATCGCGCCGTGTATTCCTCCATCGCAAATTCATCGCCTTACGGATTACGTAATCCATCTATCGATAGATCTCTTTTTTGTTTTGCAACGTGACTTACTATAAAATTGTATACTGCATATCGGGACTTAATGAAACTATTCTAATTCACCGGTATACGCAATATATAAATTTTATCAAAAAAGACAGCTCAATTCAAATGTTCTTAGTTTTTAATTTCTATATTATGAATTTCGTTTCTCTATGAAAAACCGAACTGACTTATAACTTCGGTTACTGATACCATTCAATGTTTGTAAATAAAATTTATTTAAAGATGGAGACTGGTCGATCGTCTTTTCTTAGTTCCTAGTCGTCTAGATCTAAACGAAGACTAGTCCTGTTCAAATATCTCGGCAATTTAACTTCATATAACGTTGAAGTGTAATAAATTCATAAAAGCAGTAAATACACAAGAAATATAAGATTGAACTCTAACATCGTTTACACATTAATATCGTTTATTTTGACAGATAGGTCCATTATTGTTAGAATTAAGGAATTTCCATGGGGCAGTGGTTCTCCAACGGAACTGTGTAAAATGCAACAAACAACGCAGAAAGAGATCAAATTATAATAAAGTAAATATCTCGAATGGAAATTTATAGAGTGATTGCGTCATTTTGTAACGGCCGTGAGGACACGTTCGTCATTTTTTCGAGAATCACGTAACCGTGATACATCCGCGTATTGTTCTTGTTGCGCCGGGATACGGAAAGGATGCGAGAATGCCACACACGTTTCCGGGTCCTGGGATACGAGCCGCTGGCATAAGCGGTGGCCACTGTACGCAAAACGCCCATACACCCACACGTGACTGGGTCGTTGGCCCCTGCACAAACGTCTAGGATGTATATTTGGCTCGTATACCTGTAACGATACGCACCACGCTATATTTGGCAGCTTGCAGATACTCGAATCTTTTTATTTCTCTATTATTCGTTGACAATTAAACAGCTCGCAGCTGGGAGGCTGAAATTTCAGTTTCACTTGTTCTTAATCGATTAAAACAACGAACTTGTCAAAGTATTATTTTAATATATTATTAAAAAGAGAATGATAATCGAAAAATGTATATTTCCTCACAAGTAAGTAGTAGTTATCGAGTCGATGAAATTTTATTTCTATTTTTGAAGAATTTTCCAAATCCGCCAATAAAATTAATATTTTCATTCTTGCTTTGTTATTCGAATAGACTGAAAATTATATTTTCTTTTATTGTAATTTTCTTTTGATATTATAGAAAAATTCAGAATCTTCCGGGTTTGAAATGTACTTCGAGGCAGCATTGATTTTTAATTAATTACGGTTATAAGTATGTGTGAATTGTATTTTAAAATTAAACTTCCCTTCGTACTGAAGCAACAATAACAAAAAGACGTGTTTGTTATCGACGCTGCAGTGAATTCTCTGTTAAGTTCAGATAACGAAGGTTCTTCGGCATTTGCGTACACGTGGAGGCCTCCTCGGGAAGGGTTACCAGTTTCTTTTTTTCTACGAATCTTCGGAATATCAAGAAGCCTTGAAGAACTCGATACGCTTTAGTTAGGCGAGCCATTCCGAAAGGCAGGTGGTTTCGGCCACCTGGCCTAACGCTCCTTCGATGTCTTTTCTTTTTTTTTTCCTCTTTTCTTGCTGCTTGATTTCCTTATTCGGTGGATATCGTGTTATTGCGTCTCTTCGCATCTTCCTCAATTCGTGCATAGCAGACTGGTGACAAGGTTTCTGAGGGGTTTGCCCGGTGTTTCGGGCGGTAATACGATAGACTCGTTTCCTCGTGTTACATCATATCTATTTAATTGCTTACTTGTTACGTATCAAAGATAATAGAGTCAATTATATAGCTTTAATTTATAAAAGTCGAATATTTTATCAGTTAATTATATTAACACTGTTTGTTTTGTACATGCGTCCTTGATTATTTAAAATATTCAAGGAATTGTTTGTATCATATCTGAAAAACAATAAGATAAATTATATAGTTTAAATCTATGAGAGTGGAATATTTTATTTCTTTTAAATTACTTTGAATGAATACTTGTAGAGCAATTACAACGTCGACAGTGCCGGTGACTTCAACGCTTGGTGAAGCGTGTAGTACCATAGCAACTGTGATATCATTTACCAATCCGTCCTTACGTGCGCGAATGTTCGCAAATTATCACCTTTGTTGTTACTTTCAAATTTAAAGTAAATATGCGTTGCATCTATAAATTAAATTAGCAAATTAATTACAATTATGAGTGACACTGGAATTGTATTAAACACTGAATTATTTAATAGAATTTATATAGATTGAGAGACAATTTAAAGGGACAATTTAGCGTCGACATTCACTAATGTTCCAGAACAATGCAATAAAAATCAAGCGCATACAATGCATCTTTAAATGAACCAACAGTTGACAACATGATCTTGCATAAATAGAGAAGTATATCATTTCATCTCTAATGTAAATACAGTTTAACATAAATCTCACTGTTTAACGCATTCCCTACTAATCTATTCCTGCAGTAATTTTCACAGTTACAATATTTAACTACAAAACATCCATTTCAACAAATACACAAAAAAGTATTTCAAAAACAATTCATCAATTTCTTAAGCCATACATGTACTTCCAACACAGGACGGTATCATCTAACGTGTTCACGTCCCCGTACCCGAACGACCCATCAAAGCGTTAACATTAAAAATTACGTCGATGCGTCTAACGAACTTCTATGCCGGTGCCGTATACGTGGAACGCGCGCATGATATCGTATTACGCGCACGTTACACACTTGCGCACGTGAATTGTAAATTACGGAAGATCGTGTCCGAAGATGACCTAGATATCCAACGGGCTGCAAGAAAGGGCATCGACGTCAAGCTGGCATGCCCGGGTTCTTTATGCCCTCCCGGAGAGGGAAATAGAGAACGAGCGGAAAAAAAGGGTTCGACGGTCACCACTTCCTTTGCACGCCAAAATTCCCGCGGTCCCCGGGGACCGATGAAAGCCGTGAGAAAAAAGAAGGGAACAGGGACGGAATAGAAACACACGTCCATGGAAAGTCGGGCGTTTCCCGTGAAAAACGCCCTGTACAATTCCACCGAATAATCGGCCGTACCACTTTCAGTATTAGGCTGTTTCGGGTCCACTGTTACACGTAATTGCCGCGGTGGACGGGGCACGTTTAACCCTTAATTACCGGTTGCCGCCCCATTCTTGGGCAATTTAATTACGGTAAAACTGAACTATATAGTCTTTAGGCAGCAACATTTGGGACGGGTTTTTTGCTGTTCCAGAAGTAGACCATGGTCGAGTATGCTTGTTATTATGACATTTTTTTGTTATTTTCATTCAGCTTATTGAAAGATATTTATTGTACATTTGACTAATGTATTATTGAATTTGTAATTGTTTTTTTATACGAAGGTTGCTTTGAAATTATTTTGAAGGTTACAAATCGGAACTTGATACTTTTTCTGATCAGGATGTATAAAATCAATACTTGAGATTTGATTATTTACATTAATAGAAGCGTAAGGAATCCCCTTTTTGTTTGGAACACTTCCGTCGTAAAATTACTTCGCTTTCTTTTGTTCGTTATATTTGTTAAGACACTCGAGTATTGCAAGAGTGATACTCGATTGGTAAAATTAAACTAAATATAAAGCAAGATATAAAGAATAAAAAATCGTGTATGAAACAATGAAGCAACTAAAATAGTATAAAATAGTATAAAAGGAAGACAAATTAAAGTAAAATAAATATTAAATGTATCATGCAAATGCATTTCTTAAATTTAATATAGTACAGATTAGAAAACCACGAAAACAGTTTCTCGTATGAAACGTACAGTCATTTCACAGCCGTCCCTGATCCACAATTTAGACGATCCAGCTAACGCGCCTCCATTTTCGCCTATGTTTCAGGAGTAACGTTCAAGGCACACAGGTTAATCCTCGCAGCATGCAGCAAGCACTTTCAAGAGCTCTTCGAAGGAATGCCTCCTTCTCCCGCGGGACTGATCGTTATTCTCGACGGGACGAGTGCCCACAATATGGCGTCCCTCCTCGAATTCATGTACCGTGGAGAGGTACACGTGTCCCAGGAATCCCTCAGCTCTTTCCTCAAAGCAGCCGAATGCCTTCAAGTATGCGACATATTCCTTCTTTTAAATAATTGCCCTACATAGCGGCCACGCGTGTTCAGAGGCGGTCCCGCGCGATGCATTCCACGGTGAACACCTAATTTTATTTTTGGTCGGCGATTAATGGTCAGGAGTTCCTGTTTCGAAGTACATATCCGTTGGGAACAGGATGGCGTCGATGCCCGCGCGATAATCCAGCTAAATTCCTCTTGGCCGCGGATATTACTCACTTTTCAAACGATGCTGCAGTAGACACAATGTCTCGCGCAGTATTGCAGCACTGCATTTTTTGCGTTATATCATGTACGAACCGTGACATTATGCATGTACAGAGAATATAAATGAATAACCTTCAAAACATATCCTTAGAAGATGACTTGACGTTTAGTTGGATGACACATAAGCAAAAAGAGTCTTTCGCTGCGTGTTGTGTCTGTAGCTACAATTGGTCACGCGCAACCATATCAACAACTAGCAAATTAGCATCGTAAATGAGATGAAAACTGACCAATCATAACTCGCATTCCTCAACCTACCGGTACTCAAACTACAAATCATCATTTCCATTCAAGACAATATTAGCTAAGCTTCAATCCCCAAACACGTGTCCATTAGATCATCGCCTGATCCTCTTTTCCCCTCATTCACGGTGTTCCTGCAACATAACCTATGCCTCGTATGTAACAAATCATTAAATTCTCGAAGACCTTCGGAAACAAGACCTTCCTTTCCGTTGTGCAATGCTTTCTGAGCTAGCGGTTGCGTTCCGCAGGTGAAGGGTCTGTCCATTGAGCACGAGAAGCTGGCGGTGGCTCAGAGGCACGCAGCGGAGAACAATAACGCGTCCACGGACACCGGGGGTGGAAACAGCACCAATGGTAGCGGCGGTAGCGAGAACGGCGGAGGAGTCGGTAGCAGCGTGAACAATAACGTGGGCAGTAGCGTCGGTAGCGGCGTGGGCGGCGGTATCGGCGGCGGCGTCGGCGAAGTGACCGACCTTAGCGAGGCGGGTGAGGCAACCATGGTGAGGAACACCATGAAGAGGACCCCCACGCCGGCACCGTCGCCCGCGCCGGCCTATCCCGTGCCCAGCCTCTATTCTACCTCTCACTATTACGAAAGCCCGTCGAAAAGGCTGATGAGGTAAGCCCTTTTACCTTACTGAAGGACCCGCGCGTGAAACTCTCGGAAACGAAATCGCGCCGGGAAACGCGCACTCGACCTTCCTACGTTCCAACGCTGAAATCGTGACCCTCGGAGACGTAATTAATCGAGGCTTCGATCAGGGACCATAGGTTTCAACTGTCTTAGAAGATCTTTTTGAGGATGATTGGCTGCTTAGGGAATCCGATGAGGCAAGGGAATTGCAAGAGATTTTTACGGCGTTATTCGTACAGATTTTGTAGGTTTTAAAGGTTGTCTGAGAATTTAGTCCGAAATCCCTTCAGGTTTTATTTATGATATTTTATCTTAATTACTTTTGGGAGTTTATATTTTGTTATTTATGTTATTATCCGTTTTGACAGTATGGAATAAAATAGATGTTATAGTTCTTTGCTATGTTTAAAAATCGGAGAGTTCATTGTAATATTTTAATCCTTTAGAAATGGTTCTTCTGTTAAGCATTGGTAGTTAGGGGTTATGGAAATTAATTAATTACCTTCTATCTTTAGACGTTCATTTCTGTTCTGTTATTATAAGAAGGTTATTAGCAACGATGATTCATTTCTTTTTATTCCAAAATTAAATTTTCAGTTTATTATATAAATATTGAGAACTGAGATTTTTTCACAAGTTGATATCCCATTGTTTCCCGCGGCGCAGTTATTTTTTTATATTCTTTTCTTCCTCTCGCTTACGTATCATGCGTTCTCCTATGGGGATGGTATTTTTAGATCGCCCAGCGATGTGGATACTCTAGGAAGGGCGAGCGTGTTACGTGATGGCACGGCTTTTCGGCCCGCATCTGCGCCACATCCGCTACTGCTCGAGAACCACTTTTATCAGCCGTTTACCCACCCCTCGGAGACACCCGCACACCCTCACACCGCGCCCCACACACCGACAGAATTGGAACAAGAACTGGAACGAGCGAGGTCCGAAGAACGTAGCAATTGCGATCTCAAGGAAAGCGTAGCCGAAGGTCAGTCCCAATCTCTTATAAACATTCTGGTATAATAACATATTACTGTAAATATAATTGAATGTTATTACGAAACATTTGAAAATAAATAGTGATTAGTAGATTGTAAATTTTATCATTTTCTTTTTGGTTCCGTATTTATTTATTGACTAACTATTTAATCTTCAACTGGTGAAGTGTGCTGTGAAAGACATAAACTATTATTCAATTATTTTTCTGTACATTTGTTGTTATGTTTTTGCTTTCTTACTTTTCGCGCAGATCTTCGAATAAAGCAAGAACCGGTGGCACTGAGCGATCGGGAGAGGGCAGACAAACTGGCGGAAAGATTGTCGGGCGAAGTTTATTCTGGGGGGAGGGGGTTCGATGGCAGTCATTATGGGCCGAACTCGGATCACCTTCAGCACGGTGCGCAAATGGGTGCCGCTATGGTGCCCTTGCCACCGGCTCATCCACCGACACCTGATCTCAGCCCTGCACCAACCACCCCGGCTATGTGGAACACGAAGATCAACAAGGCTGGCACTGTCTCCACTCCTGACGGTGAGTGTAATATTTCGTTAATATTTATTCAGTAATTTTAATGCTTCCACGTTTCGTTAGAAAAATAAAGGGAAGCAATTTCTAGGACACAGTAAGAAATTATTTCTTCGCTAAATAAAATATTGCACACTTGATTAAGAAACAGAACACTATATCGAGTGTAACACAGTACACAATTAACATTAATCAATCTTTTGAACGCAGACTATTTTATATGAAGCTGAATTCATCGAAATTATTTATTATTCAATCTTTTCGAATAATACCGTTAAAGACATTTAGGTAAAAGGTATTAAATCTAGTTGAATGACTATGAAGTAAATACTGCTAGATCAAAATTGAACTGTCATGAAATCTTACAATTCCATTGATTAATATTCCCCTAAATATATTTGTATTGATTATCTTATACATTAGACACGACAAAAATAATACAACATCGAAAGCCGACAAGAATTGAGTTAACGTACGGATTAAATTATGGGCCACGACTTGTAGTGGGCATTTCATGTCCCACGGGTCTGGCCTCCTAACGAGTCACAAATTCAATTTCAAGGATATTTTGAGTATGCATTTGAGGAAGGCTAGCCGCGGCGGCTCGTGAGGAGAGCGGTTCGTCGATTAGTGGAAGGGGTCGGGGCGTTGGGCACGAGTTGCAACATCAAGAAAGCTCCACGTGCAGCCGATGATGCAACGATTAGCCATGCATTTTGTAACATTAGATCCGGAGGGCCCTGCCTTCCGGCGACGCATTGGCCTAGATAGAGAACTTAACGTTCTTTCGACACCAACGTCCATTAAAATAATTATCGTAACCCCAGGATTATTATGTAATCCACCGATTTTACATCGAACACATTTTCGAGTGAGAAAATTTGATCGGATACATCGATCGAGAGTCGCTTCTGTAGATTTTTGTATATACAGAACACGATCGTGGAAGATATATGTTCGAAGATCGCTCGGCATGCGTTCACGTTTACACACGCAATCAACGCGTTCGCGATGAATCAAAACACACGTGGATCGTTCGCGGAAACTCCGGCAAACCCACGCAGCCGTGATTCTCGTTTCTGCAGGGTGTCTCGGAAGTAGATGATCAAGAACTGAAATACTTCGAACATGAGATACAGCTGTAGACACGTGTCAAAAACTAATTATAACGATCTTATATTACTCAGGATAAACAATCTCTTTATGATCAGTACTAATTAAATCATAGTTTATACAAATGAAAGTCTTCAAAGTCTTTCATAAAAGTGAGAATTAGAACATTATTTGTCTATATCATGATGTAGACATTCACTCGATTAGATTGTACGAAGACAATATAGATCTAACACAAGTTTCCTTGTGTCAGGGAACACTACTTTCAAGAACAACAGTTTTCCCGATCTTTCTACATTCATTTAACCTTAAAATCGCCGAACAGTTAAACCGATGTTTTTCAACTTCCTTATAGAAACTACAACACTGAAATTGTTAAGGTTTCAATGAACTTGTATCATAGATGACGTATAACCTACTCTACTACTTTAACAATTCCACAAGAAGCATTTTTTCAGCAATCGTCCTAAGAAATGAGAACTGGATCACTTTGATCCATCTATCCATACAGTTCTAGTGCCAATAAATTAAATAAAAAGGCATTGAGTGGGTACAAGATGCGTGCGTAACATTATTGTTTACGATATCAGGAGAAAGGTCGTCGTCTCACAGACGACCAGTTGGTGATCTAGGGTTATTTTTTACCTGTCCATCGGATGCTCGGTTGGCCGGTCGGACTAACGCGCGGAAAGAGAGCATCGCCGTCGACGGCGCGGCGTTGGACAAGATTTACGGGCGGTCGTCGCTGGTCGACGTCCACCCGGGGGACACGTTCCGTTGTGCCTTACGACAGAACGCGCCGCCTCGCCTCCTCGCCTTGCCTTCACGGTGCCGAGAACAAAGTGTACAAAGAGGCGAGGCGATGCAGGCGGCCGCGGTGCAGCCACTGGGAACATCTTTTGCTCCGGCGAGCAAATCACCGGGCGTGACGCCGCCACGACGACGCCACGTAAAACGGGTCCCGGTGGGGTAGCTAAAACCACGGTCAGTCTAAACCGCCCCGGACAACGCCACGGACCGTGTCCCGTGCAGGACGGTACGACCGCCGCGGATGTATCACGCTTTTAACCACTTTTTAATCGGTGCTATGATGAGCGGCCAGCCGCGGTGCTGGTAAAGAAAGAAGCGAACCGGCAACTAATGCAACCGGTTATTGACATTAACCGTGCAAAGAGCTTGAAAAGGGAAAAGGAGAGAGGCTCGGGAGAAAGGGCGGGCGGGTGGACAGGGTCGACCGTGTGTCCACGGAAGAGGAAAAGACCAAGGAAGCCGAAAGAGAAAGGCTTTTTTGGTGGCGAGCGGCCGTTTTGCAAGCGGACGATCTCGGTCGAATTGTCACAGAACGCAGAGCTGGCTGCTGATGGTACACTGTTCCTAGATTTTTTGATTATGCGGTGAAAATATTGTTATGTTTCGTTTGTTTTCACTTGGTTGCTGGAAGGCAGGTTTTTGTTAGGATATACGGGCACTATTGAATCAGTGGGCGTCAGAATACTATAAAGTTGAAATTATTTTCTCAACGGAACAGACGCTCATAAGTCGGGATCCTTCGTAGCGATTGCTCTTTTAATCTTCTCGTATCCTATAGACCTAAGAAAATTCGGTTCGTTCGGATGTGTCACTGAGAACCTCTTAAATTTTATAGGACAAAATGATGTTAACCAAGCTTGGGTGATGTGGTAGTAAAAGCAATAATGAAGGGTTCATTGCGTTTTGAATGTGTTAGTAAAGGCAATTTTCTTTAGAATGAATTATTTTAAGTTTGTGCAATCTCATTAGATTCCTTCTTTGCATAGTTTGAGGTGTGAAGATCTG